TGGCACCATATAACAATCCAAGTATAATTGTTAAAACTACCTGAACTCATTTCAAAACTTTTCAATCAATATACCCTACTAATATAAAATAATTTCGCAAGTTTGCAAGACGGCCGAATGTTCAATCCATACAAATACACCTCTGCATTACTCCCACACTCTACATATATAGAGTAATAGAGGCGTAATGCGGAGGAATATCAACCGCCCCAACTTCGCTCAACATTATTTTACAAACCGACGGAGTAGACAAGTGAAATCACCCTAATGATTCCTACTCAAAAACTCATCGTTAAAACAAGTAAAGAAGGGCTAAGTTCGAGTGCAACCGAACATTTTATATGCTCGCAAGGATCAAAGCTGGGAAATACTTTTAGGTGTGGCCAAACCTTTAGACTACATAATGTTGAGAAAGTATTCAACATTCATTATTTGACGAAAATATGAAAGGATTACAATCATATTTGGTATCTTATTAACTTATATTATAGGTCGTAGACTCACTTTGCCTTATGCTTCATATTCAAGATATTGGTATTAAAATTAACCTAATTAACTCAAAGGTGATATAAACTTAACCAGATCGGTAAAATTTAATATATTATAACTATATATACTTCTATTATATATTATACTTATATTGGGTATATGAAGGAAAAATCAATCAGTCAGACAGAAATCATTGCAATGGGTACAAGGGGCTTAGACCACGGTCTAGACAAATTTCATTCATTTTCTGCTCTAAGCCACAATATGTTTATAAAAACTTTGAAATATCACATACCTATATTGTCCAACATAAACGGCTTAAAGCCAGTTAGAAAGTCGACAATCATTATATCGGGTGTATTTGGGCAAGGAGAAGGTCTGGACTGATTTACTTGTGGTATCAAGCATATTCGGTTTCATGTTTCCATTCAATTTTATGAAGATAACTCTCACACTGTCCGACATATGCATAAAGTCTGCTAAAATAACAAATGTCATTCAGGGTTGTTGATTGTTGTCAGCATCAGAATTGAAATCGATTAAAAAATGTAGTAGAAGTAGATGTCATGATTTCAGCCATTACTGCTTTGATGTTCGAATCAGAATTTTTATTGGCTTTTGATGTCATGGAAACCACTTTAATCGGTTTTGCTACGAGTATCATAGACAAAGCAAGAAGATAGGCGCTGACGTTTGCGTAATTTTGCTAAAATATCTTACAAATTGACTAATATATGAGATATAGAGACAATTGAAAGTTTGAAATCCTTATTTTATGTTAAAGCAAGTTACAGTATTGATCCGATTTCAAGAGATGCTCTCTATATTTCATTAATATAAGTAACATATTGACCAATATATACAGTGCAAGGTCAACCTGAAGTTCGTAAATATTTATATGAGTTATAGGGGGGCCTAGGGGAAGTATTAATCCGATGTTGTTTATCTTTGACACGAGGGTTCAGTATTCTCCGACAAAGATTCTCTCTGAATTTCAATAATATATGTCACACATTGACCGATATTTTCTATAAAAAGTCTGCCATAAGCACTGGGGTTCACATATTCGGTTAATGGGCGTTTGAATAGTTATGGTTCGTTTTTGACAATTCTTGGACTTGAGATGACACACCTTAAAGGCACTAACATATTAGTTAAAGTTTTGTCCTATTTCCAATTATGATACCGGCTAATATGAAACCCTTTTATGTCAACTGCCTCTTATGCTATTATTTATTAAGTTGTCGCTCTTTTAGTAGTTTTCAACATAACCGTTATATTAGGAAGGGCGGAACGATTTCTATCATTTTCACACTATCAGAAAGCCAATAAGAATTGTCCGGAGCACTTTTGGTTGATTTAGCTAATGTGATTTGGGAGATATGTACATTAAATCTATTGGGGACGGGGCCACGCCTACCTTTTTGATGTTTTTAGCCCTCAGGTGCCCCTTACTACTGCAATTCCCTGCACCAAATTTCAGTTTTTATCTTGATTAAGGACTTAGTTATAGCAATTTTTAGGTTTTCGCTTAATGGCATTTTCTGGGTGTGGCAATAGTCCGATGCCGCCCATTTGCAATACCAACGTTCCTCGGTAACCAAGAAATATGTGTACCAAGTTTCATCAAAATAGCTCAATTCTTACCCAAGTTACAGCTTACACAGACGGACGGACGGACAGACAGATACCCGGATTTCAACTCGTCTCTTCATCCTGATTATTTATGTACTTGTATATATAACCCTATATCAACTCGATTAGTTTGAGGTGATACAAACAACCGTTAGGTGAACAAAACTATTATACTCTGTAGCAACATGTTTCAAGAGTATAAACTTACTATAAAGTCAGTAAAAGACAAAGGAAGGTTTTGCTACGAAAAAGAGTTAGTGAAAACTTAAATCAACATAGAATGGGATGATAGACGGACATCCAGGACTCGTCTCGTAATCCATATCATTTTGATATAATGTTGAAGTGTTATAAATAATGTTTTCTGATCGGATGGGGAATCTTCTTAAAATGGGCTCATTCTTTTGCTTATTTACTATATATATTCGAAGTTTTGGCTTCGCTCTTTAACTGTCGTTCGATTCTTCGCAGTTCAATTAGAATTTAAGTTGAGAGCTCCTTTACGTTGAGGCGTACCTACTTGGATTATAGCATATTCGGTGCTATATTATACAGCGATACACGTTCGTCGATCTAATGTACTAATATAATCCTTTCCATGTTGTATCTCGGACAATAAAAGAGAATATGTAGAGCATTTTCACTACTGCGTCAGTCCATTATCGTGGCCATACTTATAGAGAGCAGCAAAATCCAGCCAGGAATTGCATCATATGGAAATCAATTTCACTATGTTTCCTATCCACCCTGGTTTTGATTTTTTTAATGTGGCCTGCCATTTGTTTATACTCTTTTGTCTTTCTTCTCGAAGTTCTTCAGAATTGTTGACGCCTGCCGAGCGTTTTTCTCAAATCATATACAATACATACAAGTATATATTATATTATACTAACAGCTTCATGAAATACAAGCCGGGCCTAGCCTGAACATTTTGGCATATATTTTATGAGTTAGCGCTTGTGCTCATACAGGTACCCCACATACCACAGAATACTCGTAGATTGGCTGGATTTTGCACTCAATGTTCAGAGTAATGGTCTTTAATTTTTTCTGCTTGTAATATAAATAATAAAGTTGTGTCAAAAACAACAATTTGTCAAAAGGGTTTTAATTCATAAAACATCATAAATCATAATCAGCCGTTTTATTTTGTTTTTTTGATTCAAAAATTAATTTTTCGAGGATTTCAACCAATGAAAATGTGTTTTTTGAAGGATAACTGATTACGAATACATTGTTAATCATACAAAATCATCAAAGTGTAAATAAGAAATTGACGAGAAAAACAAAAAAGTTTTTTTGACATTATTGATTAAAATTTATTTTGGTAAGAGGAAGCACGCTCCGAAGTAACACAACCTTATATAATTGAACCTTATATATATATATGTATTACGAATTTTGTTGTAAAAAAAACTCTTTGAAGTTAACAGTTCTTAATCACCAAGAATATACTAATCTCCGAAAATTAAATAAATAAATAAAATAAACTGAGAAATGTTGTTTAACGAAATCAAAGAAAATCAGTAAATTTTATGTACTAATTTCGGGTAACTAAAAATAAATATTAATAAAACTCAGTAATCATATTGTAGATAGGTACAATAGCGTATCTGCCCATCATATTGTATTTAAACGTAACTTGAGATGTTCATTTAACAAATAAAATACGGGTGAATGTCTGTCTGTCCGTTGGTGCAAGCGATGCTACGGAAGGGCTTTCTAGAGCTCGGATAATTGGACAATAGGAGCGGCACCGCGCACCTTTACGTCAAATCCTATACCTCAAGAACGGATAGACAAATTTCAACCAAACCAATAACAACCATTTCTAATTCCCGTATATCACAATTATGTATTCCATCTGATTCTTCCACTTCCCAGTATATATACCAAACACCAATGAATATATCGAAATAACATTACACAGATAGAGTACACTAATATCATTAAACGTTGTTCGCAGAATTTCAATAATATATCTCAGAAATTTACCTATATTTTAGGTTAAATATCAGTAATCGGCACTGAGGAATGACGGTATCTGAAGCTTAAATAGTTGTAGTCCGATTTCCGGCGGTGTCACGCCCATATGCAATTTTAAAATTGGCTCCTATGAAGGTCATTTTGGTCGTCTTGGGTGTAAAATTATATTTCTCTAATACCTTTATTTACTGAGTTATCGTACGTTTAGTAATTTTCAACAATCATTATCATCTGATTTCAACTGCTTTCACAGTGTCGTAGGAGGTATCAAAAATATTTTTCATGTGTAAATTTGATTAATATAGCCCGAGTGGTTCGGGAGATACATATATAAATTAAAATTATTAGGGGCAGAGCCAAACACACCAAATACGATTCGTTGTACCAAATTAAAGTTCTGTATGTTAATTCGGGGCTTAGTTATGGCCATTTATAGTTTTTCGATTAATGGCTTTTGTGGGTGAAAAAGACGCACATGGGTAGCAGCTTTCCAACGCAAATCTGGAAAATATAGTTATAATATAATAGAAAATGCTCCTTTTTGGTAAATTATGTAAATCTAACATTGAGGCGATATGCGATAAGCAGTATAAATTCTAGAATCTATCATAACCATTGATGTCTCCTAGTAATCTTTATTACATATGATAACATGTGCGTATTTGCTTATATGTATTTGAATATATACACTTACTTATGTCTATTATGTTTTTATAAACAAATATGTATGTACGTATTATATAATATGTGAGTATATATATTTATGTGTTAACGTACATGTAGACGTCAGCAGCACAGTCCATGATGTTCTGGCCTTATACATACATATGTATGTATACTATATGGAAGATCACTATAAAACAGTAGACTAATACTCGATAAAATCTCTAGGTGATGGTGTTTCCAAAAATAATTTAGCATTGAGAGTGTATATTGTGACCGAATTTTCGCAGTAAAGATATTCTTTAAAATATTCAAATTCATGTACATTAAATATTGCTAAAATCAGAAGAACTCGAACGGGCGCTAAGTGAACACACACGACACCGAGACGAAACGAAAGAAAACTAAACCGCTGGGAATATAATAATTTTAGTGCAAACATTAATACATTTTGTAAAATAATTAAAATATTAAGTCAATTTCTAACGAACAAAAATGGTTTACGAAAGTGGATTTACTACCCGTAGGACCTACACCAGCAGGCCTATTGTTAGCTCATATGCCGTGTCGGTAAGTTTTCACCAATTATTAATATTAGTTAAACTAAAATTGTGAAGTTACAGCCTATAATCCTTAACTGCTTTCAATTGGTCAGTTAAAATATAGTGTGGTGCGTGTCGTTTAAAATATGTGTATTCAAATATTTGAAAAAGGCTTGGGAACGTGTGCAAAGCAACATGAATATACATATATTTTTATTCTGTTTCTTACTAATTAAAATATATTTACGCGATTTTGCAAATATTTGGAGGCACATTTTTTACTTCGTCACCAATGTAAAAACTTTAATCATAGAGCTCTGTGTAGCAAGTAGGAGTATTACCAAAATACCTACTAATAAAAAGATTTTAATTGTAAGCCATTCACAAAAGTAGAAATATTACTGCAAAAGGTTTTACAAATATTGAAACCAAATGTATTCATTTGATTTAATTGCCAATGATGAAGAACAAGAGGAGAATTGAAACAAGTTTGAAAAAAGTTATATTTCGCAAATTTCGTAAATTCCAGGGCTACTAATACCAAAAGATTGATATTGTGAGTTAATAGACTAGCGCAGAAGCCTTTGAATATGTAAATAAAAAAATAAAGAAAATCATAGTAGGTTGAAACCCATATAAACGAAAGATAAAATGACAAACATTAAAGGAAAATAATTTACGGGCCATCTGAGGTCTGGAAAAGAAAGGGGAGAGCTGTGATTGAATTTTTAAGGTTTAATAACGGTTTCCGTCAAAACTACGAGTCCTTTAGAAAAAAGTTGTATGGCAATGTTGTAGGTAGTGAAAAGATCTATAACTTTTGTTTATAAACTTTTTTCACATATTTTTGTGTAAAATTCGAATAACCCAGTTTTTGGGTTTTTTATTTTTATCTTGAACAAAATTTTTTTTTCACGAAATTTGGTGTAAACTAGCTTTCTTATGTCCCTAATAAAAATATGGTAAGTTTTTATTTAAAAACAAAAAAAAAATAATTTTCTCCTTATATTAAACTAATATAATAAAACCCAAATTTTCAATAAAAATTCTCAAGTCAAAATATCAGATTTTTGTTAAAACTCAATAGACGTTATGTTTGTTGAAATATCGCCCCTAAAGTATTTTTCTCTTAATGTTTGTTATTTGGTCTCTCGTTCCCATTGAGTTTCATCCTACTATGATTTTTTTTGTTTTCAAAAATTATCTACCGTGGTATACAAGGTAAATCGTGATTTATGAATATCGCATCAATATATTTTAGTTAATTATTTATGTACTTATGATTGATTTCGGTTTATTGTAAGAAGGTATCCGTATATAAAAAACTTAAAACAAAATTTCTGCATTAGGACATTATTACATTCAAAAGCTTTTCTAACGAATGTTTTATCCACATATTCACATGCGTACTTTCTTACGGCAACACATACATTGTTTATATGCAAGAACCTACAAATTTTAATATTATGCTAATCTGTCAAACTAATGCTTATACCATAAAATATTTTACAAGTGGTAACAACCGAGAAACTTTCTCAAACATCTGTTTAACACTGATTATTGCATTGTATTATATTATATTATATATCAACATAAACATATGAACTCATATATGTATATTGTAACTTCTGATTATATGTATAAACGTTTCGGTAAGTTTTTATATGTATTATTATTTCTAAAATAATTATATTATATGACTCCACAGAAAAAGTTAAATTTAAACTTATGTATTATGTAAGTATATATACATATATGTATGTTCGATGGGGGGTTACATAAATCTTTTTTACATGGAGTAAAATAGCGCATTACTAAGATATATAGGTATGTATATGTATGTGCATACAAACGCATATGTATCAAGTTCAATGTATAACCACCTAGTCATCTATTTATTTCAAACAAAATAAGTTTAATTTTACTCTTTTAATATTTATTCAATATGAAGGCAAACAAGTGTATCAAATTTTCATACCCGTAAAAGTGTTTTTATGGATGCAGAGTTCCTACCGATTATTAAAATAGGTGCGCGCGCATATAATTTTACAATTTATAAATATCTTTCAAATTCCATAGAGATATAAACAAACAGCTTCAATGTTTCTTACTCATACGACGTAAATATTCAATAAGACCATATACTCGTATACATACTCACACATGTAGATACGTATGTTTGTTCTGTTTACCTTTAAGGAAACAGAATACCTTTACATATTCAAATAGTTTTTTATATTACTAAAATAATATGTATGTAGTTATAGTGTAACCACAACAATGAATAATATTGTGGTATATCCAAACAGTATTATACACTGTAGGCTCTACATTTGTATGCATCTATTGCGGCATACGTACATAACATATGTACATTGATCTTATTGTTATTATTGACTTCTAGCAATACCTTATACATTATAATTTATAATATACTTTAAAGTTAATTATGTATATATAACTAGAAATCTTAACCTACAAAAATGTTGGATGTTTGCAATAGCAAATTCTTAATTAATACTAAAATAAAGCACTGACCCAATGCTTACAAAATGCCGTTTGATATGACAAACAGAGTGTTGTTAACTTGACTACCAAACCAAAACTTTTCAGAGAGCATTTTCAGAATGAAAATTATATAAAACAAATTGACAATGTTCTTCCAACTGTTAAAAAAAGAAATGAATTTGAAATAACAATTTTTATTGTTGAAAAGCTCCATTGTTTTAACACTGACTATAAATCTCGTCTGTCTGTCCGTATATACGCGAAGTAGTCTCTCAATTTTTAAGATATCAATATGAAATTTTGCACACGTCCTTACCTCTCCAAGAAGCTGCTCATCTGTTGATCCGCCGATATCGGACAACAATCAATATAGAAAAGATAATGACAACATTGAAATCATATGTCTGATGACGAAGTTGGTTCAAAATTATTGGTTTCTATTTTTTTGTGTTAATTTATCCTTGAAACAGCTTAAAATATTAATTGCAAAAAGCTATAAACTGGTTGTACTTGTAAGCAATTAATAATAATTTGTTTCAAAGATGTTATGAAGTAGTTTTGCGTTAAAAAAACTTTCTTTAGATTTCAATTCAAAAGGCGGAGGTTTTCTGTATGAGTATATCACAGAAATGCTTATATACCTACGTTTTTCTTCTCGTCTACTTTTGCGAATTATTGCTATTCTGGATCAAAGCTTAATTATTTTTCTTTTGCTTCATATTTGCGTGTACATAAAAATGAAAGTTCAAAAGAGATTTGGTTTATCTTTTGCGATGCAGTAGGTAGTCAAATTTTAAGATTTTGCGCTAATAATTTTAAAGTGGATGATTTCAAAGATTACATGCAATTCAATTTGGGTATAGTTCACATACATTGTTGTGTTTAAGTCTATCTTAATGTGCAATAAAGTAGAGAAATTGTAGATAATGATTTGAACGAAAAACACATAAATAAAAAATAGTAATATAACTAACTTATTTTTTCAAATTCGGGCCACTGTAAGTATAACGATGTTAGTTCTATGACGTCAACGGTTGTCATAACTTTAACTTGTTAAAAGTTAATATCTTCACATTCTTTATATTTCTATCACTCACCCAAATTTTAAAAACTGATCACAAAAACCGGGTTCTCGTGAGGATGTCAAAATAAATTAAGATTTGATAAATGAAATATATAGATATCATTATATATATATAGATAATCATCGCAAAACATTCTTAGCCCTTAGTATATATTTAACAAACACACACATGCAAAACATAATATACTTTGCACATTTTATTTGGGTACTATTACTTTTAATGTCGTGCTTAACAAAGTTAGGGGTTGGTTTCTCCAATTCAACATTAGTAGTTTAGTAATTTTTTTGTTAATTTAAATTTAGTTGTTCTAACGGTCATTAAGTATTTCGCTATAGGTTCGATATTGTGAAACTTCGAGGTCCTCAAAATATCCAAAAGTTTCTATCTTAACCTCCTATTTGAGTGAAATTTATTTCCGCTCCGCCACTTTTTGGGCTTGGGATTGAGGAAATAGTTCCAAGGGCAAAATCTGGAGTAAACCCCTTCAACTAACAACAGCATTTTTACGCAGGGGTTATACCATACATACCTTATTTTTGTTGCTTTTATACTTCAAAATAAGAATTAGTATAAAAAATAGTTTTGAATTTGCTTTTATGTATTAAAAATTGAAAAATTCCACTTAATAAAAATACATAAAAATTGTACATATAAATAATGTATTAAAATATAAACATCCATTTTGGATTCATTCTTACAATAGAGATTTTGAAATACCTATACTCTAAATGTTTAAAAATAAACAGCCTTACTTTTCCTGTCATGTTCCGTAGAAGTTTCTTTTATAAAACCCTACTTATAGTCCCAAATAGTGTATACCGGCCTTTCCATTTCTATTATATTTTGATGGAAGCGTTGCCCTTGTAACATTTTCATCATTTTCATTTTCATTCTAATCATGTCTGTGATCAGCTCGTCATAATTGTCCCATAATTTTTTTATTTGACGGCTTACAAAGATTCCAGCTTTTAATTTCAATATTTGTAAGATGATCTCCTTACTAGCCTATAATAAAACCTAACATTTTATAACCTAATTAATTTTATCAAAATATTTAATAATTATTATAAGTGGAGTTCATATATTATGTGAGATGTTAGAGGGGAGGAGGGGGTCAAGTCAAATATCATCTAATCTTACGTTGGAGAGAGAGGGGCGTCTCGGCAAATATCAAACAATTTTTTTTTTCTGCTTGAAACAAAAACAAAATTATACTATTTTGGTCCATTTAACCAGATTGCACATGCTTAAGATTTAATCTTAAGCGTAATCGTAACACGATTAAGATCATTCACTAATTCCTTCGTAAGAAAATAATTTCATTCACACTTCGACGTTATACATCTACTGACTGTCAAAAGACCATATTTTTTATACCAAATAGCACAATTTAATCTGAATTTACGGGACAGTGTAGCCGTTCTGTGATTTTTTT